GACAACTGGGGTCTCCCTCTGTGTGAGTTTGTCTATGTGGACACAAGACACATCTTTCCTGGGAAGAAATGTGTTTTAATTATCTTTTGTATTAAATTGTTTTTTCTTTTATGAACTGAGGGTGATAAGTGATGGTAGTTGTTTTATTTTTTATTTATTTATTTTTTATTCCTTACCCTGAGGATATTTTTCTATTTATCATCAGATAGAGTGGGAGGGAAGGAGAGACAGAGAGAAACATCAACGTGATAGAGCCACATCGACTGGCTGCCTCCCGCACGACCCAACCAGGGTTGGGGATGAACCGCAACCGAGGTATGTGCCCTTAACCAGAATCGAACCCACGACTCAATGGTCTGCGGGCTGATGCTCTAACTGCTGAGCAAAACCGGCCAGGGTTAATTATTATTAATGACTATATTTTCAATGCCATTACGTGGAAATTTGCTTTCATTATTAATGTTTAATTCCCCATTAAAAACTTATTTTTCTTTTGGCTTGTTTGTAAGATCTAAAAATCTGGGAGTCACAAAAACTGCTTTATAATTACTTTAGAGAAGCCTTAAGCCCCCTCACCCCATCTGTGTGTCTCTCCCTCTGGACAAGACAATCTTTACAGGAATCCCTGGACTTGACCGCCCTGCAGTCTCCTGGAAGCTACAGAACAAAGAAGTGAGGCCAGGACCTTCACCTCCACCCCAGTATGGACCAGAAGGAGAGAGAGCAGGCAGGGCAGCCAGAGGGCCTGGTCTCACGTGAATAGGTTGGGGATAAAGTCACAGGCAGGACATCCTTATGCAAAGCAGTAAGAAAGTGGCCTTTATCTGGGGACCTGCTGTTCCCTCCCCACCCACTTGTCACAAGCCCTCTGGCACCAAATAGATGTCACATTCTCGCTGACCGAGTTCATATCCCTATCTGGCTTTACAATGCTTTAAATCACAACAATCTTCGTTTTAAAGCTTCACTATAGTCGTGTGTTCAGCATTTTAGTGTTCTAGATACATGTAGCATGTTACCAACCACAGTTCCACAGGCCCTAGGGTCACTTTCTTCTGTGCCCACTTTAGTACATCAGCCTTCTCTCCCCTCTTCCCTAAAATGAGGAAGAGAGCATGTGTGGAAAAGTTCATGTGAACAATCAGTTATGTATACACACACACACGATGTGGTCATGTGTTGAAGTGAACTTTAGCTGGGAGAAAAACAGGAAGCAAAATATGGACCCACTTTAGAAAACAATGAGCTTGTTAAAATACTTTCTTAGATGTCTGAAAACTGGTGCAATACAAAAACTTTGCATAGCATCAAAATATCCACCAGGGGGCATTGCAGTCAAAGCACAACCTTGACTCAAACATGGGTAAACTGGTCATTTCATTTATATTGTCGCAAGTGAATTGTTTTCACAAAATGAGAGGCCACTATTTTCACTTTTTGCTGAAGGGAAAAAAATCCATTTTCTGGCAACAGAAGCTAAAAAGTAGCTGACTCTTGGCAACCAGAATTGGCCTTATACTAAGGTCAATATACATGTGTTCAGGAAATCTGAATCCACTTGAGATTGTGAACCAAACAAGTCAGGCCAGAGATAACACCCGGGTCTTGTAAATGTCACACTGCTGAAAATGTCATCCCTCCCACCTTACTTTTTCTCACCCTCCTCCCAAACCCTGCTGGTAGTCATAGACAAGAAAACTTAGGTGACTCACAGAAGCTTTCAAATAAGATTTAGGAGGGAAGGGCCTTGAATTTCATAATGCATCTGATATCACCAGCTGACTCTGGCTTAGTGAGGCCTAATCTCCAGGCAGCCAGGGGCCCTGTGCCACAGAAGGTCGACAGGAGGCCTTCATTGTGCCCAAATGCAGAGGAGGAAGAATGGAGTACAGGGCGCGCAGCTAGAAACACATGTTCTGATTCATTTTTTTTAATTTGACTTTTGCATTAAAGTAACTTTGTTTCTTAAAAGCAAGCATTTGTTGCACGAAAACTACACTTCTTGGGCTGAGAGCTGAAGAACGACAGAGGTAGGAGGGGGCATGGTGGGACCCAGGGAAGAAGCTGAGCACACAGCGCAGTTCAGGTCCCTATCACCCCTGCCTGCCCTGGGAGACATTCACCAAGCAGCCTCGCCCACACAGAGAAGTTGCCAGAGCCTGGGTCTCCACAGCAAAGTACAGCATTTTTTTAAGTTGGTCAGTGTTGTGGGTTGAATTACATCCCCCACAAAGTATATTGAAGTTCTAACCTCCTTATATGTGAATGTGACCTTATTTGGAAAGGTCTTCCCAGATGTAATCAAGATGAGGTCATCAGGGTAGGCCCTAATCCAATATAACTGTTGTCCTTATAAGAAGAGGAAGTCTTGACACCAAGATGCAGAGAATGCAGTGTGACCACACAGGCAGAATTTGGGGTCATGCACCTACAAGCCAAGGAGCATCAGGGATTGTCGACAGCCAACAGCAGCTGGGAAGAAAAGGGGTCTGGATGCTCCCTTGGAGAAACCAGCCCTGCTCACACTTGGGTTTCAGAATTCCAGCATCTAAAATGGTGAGAAAACCAATTTCTATTGTTTTAAGCCACCCAGTTTGTGGTAGTTTGTTACTGCATCTCCAGGAAACTCATTATTATGACCAAATTCAGAATAGCAATTCTGGGAATGGCGATGAAGAAATACTTAGCTGACTAAGCGTGAGGTTTCAAAGAGTTTTTTCCATTCTCTGCCTTTTTCTCTATCTACCCAATACCAATATTTCAATGGTCAAAATATAAAATATTATTTTTATTTGTCTTTAAATGCACAGTTCTTAGTGATTTCTAGAAATGTGGTCATTTTTCCAAGTCTCCTCAAATACCCCAAAGTTTTACATTCTAATTAGCAGTTTTAAAGCACTTTGCTCCCTTGAGTTGCTCAAAGTATTAAACATAAATGTTCCCTATTCTTCATGACATGCTAAAGGAAAAATTTTGCTTTTGTTTTTGTTTTTAATAGAGAAGCTATTTTAAACCTCAGGAAATACAGAGCCAAGTTAATCATATTGCCCAAGTCATACAGCCTTTCAATAGATGACCAGAATTGGGAGATAAATCTCCCCATTTCTCATATAATGTGCCTTTTAAACACCACGCAATTATATTTTATCCTTAATTATCTACCTATAACAGAAGAGTGAACAAATCCTCCAAAACTATGGTCAATCAAGAGTTGCCAATTGAGTACCCTTTCTACATTTTGGATAGAAATGTCTCTGATACTTTGGGAATTTATAAAACTTCAAAGGAAATGATACAAACACATTGCCATGCTCTCATTTCCCAACCTCCACAAGAATTTTTCCTCCCTTCCTGCCCATTCCATTCTGAGAGTCGCTCCACCTTTGGGGGTGATAGGAACGATCAGGCACAAGCTGAGCTAAACCTTCTCCCCACCTTTGCTGGCTCCAAACGTCCTGGGACAGGACGATCATGAGTTTGCTGACTCTCGGTGCCATCCTGTCCATCATACTGCCTCAGAGAGCCCCCGGGCTGATTCCCCCCACAGTCACCACCTCGCCTCCAAAGAGCGGTGTCATCTTAAAGGTCTGGCTCATGCAAGACGAAATCTCTGTTCCTGCTGTGACTCAGCAAGATTGAGACAGACTGGAATTTCTAAAAGTACCAACAAGAAAAGTGATTTCCAAGGAAAATCATGGAAACAGCTGAGTTTGTCCCACAGCTCACGGGGCGTGTCCCCTTCCTCATCAGAGCATACACACCAACTTCAGATGACAGAGACCGCCTGTGGTCTCCTGGTGGCACAGTTCTGAATCACTGCCACATGAGAAGTGTCATGTCACCCCCATGCCAAGCCATTTGCCCCTGGGATCAAATCCGTAACTGGCCTAAGCCCCCGTGTCCAGCTGAGAGAGCGATGATGGGATTCTGCACATGTGATCCGGCCTGTGGTGGGCAATAGGGGTTGTTCAGCCTCACATTGATCCTTATAATGCAAGAATAATGAAAATAGAATCATAGAAAAACATATCACAGCCTTTGTAGATGTCAGTGAAAATAAGCCATCTGACCAAGGTTGAGGGGTCCCAGGCTAGTGCGACAAAAAGACCAAAGTATGATGGCGAAGAAGAAAGAGGCAGTGCAGGGAGGAAGGTGGGGTTAGGGCATGGAGACAGGAAGTCATCATTAGAAAGTAGGACAGGCATGTAGGGGAGACACAAGTCTCGAGTTAAAGAAGGCAAGGATCTCTGGTGGGGACCAGGTTGTGAAGTTTCCCCAAATGATGGTGGGAGTTGGGAAGGAAAGCACACAGGCCAAACATGATATAGTTAACAACTACTGAGTTGTGCCACAAGTGTGCCAATCACTTTATATGAGTCTTCTCGTAACACCTTTACAACAGCCCTCCACTGTAGGAAGTACTATTATTCACATTTTATAGAAGAGCTAACAACACTAAAAACATTCAGCAACTTGGTCAATGTCACACAAACTAGTAAGTACAAAGCAGAAATCAGAATCTAGGCCATCAGATATCGTAGCCAGGGTCTTGACACTGTATATGTGCACACACACACACACACACACACATGTTTGTACACATACACTCACGTCTTAATTGCATTGGAGAGGTGGGAGGAAGCAGCCACCAGCAGATTCCACGGGGGACAGCAAGGAGGAAGGGATGGGGAGAGGAATCACAAAAGGTCAAAAACTCAACAGAGAGGGGATGTTTTCCAAAAGAAAGAAGAGCAATAGTTTGCAAGCAAACATGAAACAGGGGTAGAATGCTGAATCCCCAACCCTGTTGATGAATGGAAAAGTAGAAAACTAGGATCCTCTGGAGAGAGCCAGTAGCGTTAGAACCTTCAAAGACTGAGGACACAGGGGGATTGCCCACCATGGAACAAGGACCCCAGACAGCCCAGTTGAAAGGGTGGCCACGGGGGCAGAAGAGACCCACGGAGCAGCAGGTGCATGGGTACAGAAGGAAACATTACCAGAGGGGCCAGCACTCGAGTGATCCCTGGAGATGACAGAATGCCAGGCAGGAGGGGACTCGCCAGCCTCCAGGAGCCCCGCAAGTGTCGGCTTGTGTCCTGTCCTCTGAGCCTTCAGGACACTGGGGCCTGTGGTCAGTGGGTTGCCACCCAGGTGGAAGGGGACTCTGGGGCCACCGATGTGGCGAAGGATGTGGGGTTCAGCTTCACCCTGCTGACGGCTGAAAGCTGCCAGTCCTCACAGGCGCATTAGCGGGGCCAGGACGCTGACCCCGACGTGACAGCGGGAAGGTAAGTAATCCGCCTAATAGACATTCCTTTCTGCACTGAGAAGTCTGAACAGAAAACCGTTTGCTCTAAGTATGTCCCTTCTGCTTGCCTGGAAGGGGAGGGCAGGGAGTTACCCAACAGAGCAAGGCTCAAGTGATTATACGTGATTAAGAGCCTAACACTGAAGCCCCGTATTTCGGCCCCCAGGTAAACTTGAAATACGTGGCAGACGTGTGGCTGATCTCAGGTCACCAGTTTCAGCCTATTTTTCTAATCTTTCAGTCAGATTTCTATTCGGAAACTATCTCAACCAGCCACTAACTAACTGTATGTCAGAAGCTCCCTCTACTGTCTTGTACTCTTGTCGTCTCTGACCCCTACCAGCCCAGAGCGTGTTGAAACAGTTTTTGAGTGTGGTTTTAAGGTTCCAGGAAACCCTCCCCACCCCCACCCCCCAAAAAGTCTCCCTGGAAAATGAGTTTGAACTAAATGTCATTCCTGCTTCCGTTTAGCCCAACAGCCCTTGCGAGCAGAGAGCAGCCCGATTCCAGAGCCATGACCATTTGTCTGGGCTTCAGTTTCCTTGTCCTTGTTTTATTGTGGAAAGTTTCAACATACACACCCAGCGTCAACGATCACCAACTCATTTTGGCCACTGTGTTCAATAGACAATGTTCCTTTAAAAAAAAAAAAAAAGAAAGAAAGAAATACACGTTAAAATGTTGCACAAAACTTGGAGCCCGCTCCCCAGCCCTCCACACTTCCTCCTACATTGGAACCCAGATTGAAATAATTCTCAATATTAATTGCATAGTATCTTTTTTGCAAATTCTTCCTAGATTCCAAATCTCAATTTGATTTCAGGTGATAAGAATTAGGAGCCTCCTTCAAAAGGAGTTTATTTCATTAGAACTTATTATTCTGAATATGACTCTAAAACAAAACTGATTCTTTATGCCAAGCTCACATTTTACTTGCTGGGGATTTTAACCACATGCAGCCAATTCCAGTAAGAAGCTTAAGAAATTTCCCAGCTAAAGAAACACTGGGGGTGGCAGGATTGGGGGTGGGGACCAGGCACGTTTCAGACTTTAAAGAAAAATAATCCACGGGACATCAATGGCAACTGTTCCAGAAGGACTGGCCCCTCTAGTCAGGAGGAGACGGCCTGTCTGTTGGGAGTTTCTCAAACGTAGCTTGTGGTTTCCTTTCTTCATCCCTTTCTTCTTTTTCAGGGTTTTTGTGGTTGTTTGTTTGTTTATATGTTTTTAGAGAGCATAGCCTTATTGAGAAAAAGAGAATTTACGTCATCAATAGTAGCCATCCCAGTCACTCCCCAAGATCTTCTGTTCTCTGTCCGCAGGTGAAAGTGAGAGGAAAAAATATGAGCAGCAGGTACCAATTCTAGCTCACGATCTGGCCATGTTATTTATTACCAGAGTTGTCTGAAACCTCCTGTTGTGGGATGTGGTGAACTAAAGGACTGCCCCAAAGTACTGACCAGGTACATCACCGCAAACAAGAGGTTTGGCATGAAATAGATCAGGGCCTGAAATCTTGGCTGAGGCGTTTCCCCTTCCATGTGGGTTTCTCCCTGGAACAAAATGCTCAAAGCAGTAACGTCTAAAATAAATGCAGTCCCATGGAGGAGGGGGATCATAGCTTTCTCTCTCTCTCTCTCTCTCTCTCTCTCTCTCTCTCTCACACACACACACACACACACACACACACACACACACCATACACAAATGAAAATAAGTAGACCCAGTCTCTTGGAGCATGAGCACCCTGGAAAGCCCCTCGCCATCAATCAAACATCCTAGAACAGAAGTTTCCACAAGGACCCAGAGGTGACCTGCATCCCCCTGGGACACCTTCTCTTGCTCTTGACCATCTGCACAAATACAAGGGACAAGGCCACCCTTGGGAGAGTTAGTGGCCCAAGTTTTGTCTGCACCCCATCAGGAATGGACAAGTACCTAGAGTGTAGGGACCTCATTTCTTCAGCCCTGAGGTAAGAGGAGGAGGTGGGCCAGCTGATTTCTGAAGGGCTGAAGGCGGCTCCCAGTCTGTGGTAAACCAGGAGCACGCGGGAGGGCTCAGCGTCTGCCCGTCAGAACGCAGCTCCACACGGCTCAGCTGCGCAGCCGTGGGAACGTCACCGCGTTTCTTCTCTAAACCAGGGAGAATACCTATGTCCCAGGTAAGGACTAGGTTCCTACATGCTCATGCTAGAACACTCCTTTCTGAAACGCTGTGATTCCAAACACGAAGGAATCTGGGAAGTCTGCCCTTCTGGAACACAACTAGATAATTCAGTCCAAAATATTTCCCTCTCTGACTTATTAGTCACTGGAGGACAAAAATTATACAAATCTGGGTCAGTACTACTGGAAAATACTCATGCAATAAAAGTATTGCATAGTCCCTGTCTTAAGTGAAATAGTTTACATATTTTGTTTCTTAGTTGTTCCAAGTCACTTCGAAATAAAAGAAATGGTATACACTAAACCAAGCTGGGAACGTGCAGTCTTCACAGAGTTCATATTGCTAATTAAATTAAGGTTTCTAGCAGATCAAGGACAAATGACTGAGTTCAACAAAATATTTCCTTTGATCTCAAGATCTTTGACTTCAAAGACTAGCCAGCGGGGCCATGCAGGCGGCTGCCAGGGGCCCCTCCCCTCCCTACAACCAGGGGCTCGTGGTGAAAGAACTTTCAAGGGTCTGCTTCTGAGCCGTGTGAACACCTGCGGTGGTTGGCCCTGCCCAGGCCAGGCCACGAGTGAGGTATCTTAGGGAAAAATAAGTGAGTCAGAATGTGTGGGTTCGGGGCTGGGGTCTGCTACTTACCCACATCCTATGACCTCCTTACTTGACTTTAGTCTTCATGTTCTCCCATGTGGAATGGGAGCATGATACCTCACCTATTTCTCTCACAAGTTTGACATATAGATAGTATTGGGTCTTTGGTACATCAAATACCGAGAAAAAAATAAAGAAACAAAACACTCACAGAATGCGATGGCAGGTTCTTTGTCCTCCCAGGAGCAGTTTTTCCTCCGTTGTGTCTCTAGTGCTTTCAGTAGCTGGTGCTCAGTAATTCTTTGCTGAATGAGTGAAGGAATAAATGAAGAGTGTGGCGAGGGATGGCCCCCTCTCGGATCACCCCATTCATTCTGCCATTGCAGCCCTTGCTCTACTTAACCTTAGGACATGGTAAAAAAGAAATATCAAAGAAATACCAGGGTTGGGCAGGGGAAGTGCAGTGAAGAAGGCTGGGGACGGAGAGAAAGGGCCACCCAGCAGCAAGGAGGGACGGAGGCCGGTCTGGACGGAAGGGGATTTCCTGCAACACCCACAAGTAGGAGCCCGAGTTGTCGCAGCTCAGTGTGTTGTGTGCTTTCATGGACTGGAAGTTTTCAGTATTATCCCCTTAAGTCCATGTTTACTTCTCACTGAAGGGATTGAACATTCATGTATCATCAAATATTCATAGGTCTGGAAAGACAAACACCCCACTTATCAGTCAAATACAACTTCAAGTCAGCCTGAACTCTTAGTCACAAAACAAGAACTCGGGAGACTGTGGAAACCCAGACGTTGACTACATGATGACAGTGCAATGAATAAACTAAGAATGTGCTCTGCAGTCTTTCACAGATGCTCTCCAAGTCTCCCTATCTCTTTGAGCTGCTCATTCCGTAATACCTCTGGACACACTTCATCAGAATCAGAGACAACGGGCAGATGCTGGAAGGCTGGGCTTTGCTGTAAGCTACAGGCCGAGCACAGGTGGCCTCCCCCGTGGTATCTCTAAGTATGACAACATCAGCACTACCAGGCTTTCGGTCGTTCTCCCTCTGATGACGGGGTGGTTTTCTAATCCACGCGTGCTGTGAATCAGCTCTTGATGAAGGAGTGACCCAGTGGACTAGCACAGTACACGCTCCAGATGAAAGAGATCCACTCAGAGATATCACAGCAGGTCAGATGTTTGAGGCCGCAAGTCACAGGAATCTCAACCTAAAGTGGCCTTCAATATAAGGATGTGTGTTCATTTCACGTAAGAAGTCTAGAGATAGGTAGTTCCAGGCCTCTTCAATTCTCTTGGTTCTAGAAAGACAGTATGGTGCAGTGACGGGGGCCCAGCCTCTGTCATTAGTTTCCCTGGCTTCAAGTCCCAGCTTTGGTGCTTCTCGGCGGTGGGGCAGTGGCATTACTTAACTTCTCTGAGTCTCGGTTCTCTCCTCTGCCAAACAGCAGCAGGTTCTTATGAACATTGACTTAGTGAGTATATGTGGACTGCATAACCAGGGCCGAGCATGTAATAAGCACTACATAAGTGTCAGTTCTTATCTTTATTTATTAATAGCATCCTCTCGTTGTCACGAGAGTTCCCAAGGCACCAGGTTTCACACTGCACGTGCAAGGCAGGAAAGAAAGTGCGCGAGGGGGTCAGGGCAGAGGATGAGACTGACATAAACCCCTTGTGCATCTCTCTCCTTTTCCAGGAGAAAAGTCATCCCAGGTGCCCCTCTCCCTTCACACTGGAGCCCGTAGGTCAGAATGGAGCCACAGGTGGTGTCCGGCGATACTCCGCAAAGAGCACTAGGATTCTCATGGTTTAGACGCTAGAGTCTGTGTGCTAGTAACACGGTAGCCACTAGCCACGTAAAGTGATTTCAAGTTTAAAATTCGCCCTGGCCAGCTGGCTCAGTTGGTTGGAGCATCGTCCCATACACCAAAAGGTTTCAGGTTCGCTTCCTGGGCACGGCATATACCTAGGTTGTGGATTCAATCCCCAGTCGAGGTGCATAGGGGAGGTAACTGATTGATGTTTCTCTCTCACTTCCATCTCTCTCTCTCTGAAATCAGTAAACATATCCTCAGTTAAGGATAAAAAGTAAATAAATGAAAAAGTTTAA